TATTTTGAATTTGCACACCAAAGGTCTCGGTCACACTTATTAGAAACACTAAAAACCGATTTAAACTAGTTGCCAAATACAAGCCAAATTGAGTTCAAATTCAAGTAAAATGTGACATGCTTTTGTTGCTTGCTAATTTGAATGGCACATGCACGGTTTTTAGGCTCCAACTTCAAATTCAAATTTGAATTTCCAAACAGAATTTGCAGCACACTTTTTAAACAAGGATCAAACATTCACGGATTTGAATTTTTTTTAACAAGACATTTTCAAATTTTGGAAACCTAAAATTCTAAGAAAACTACTAATGATCTACTAGTAGTTCATGAACTCAAATTAAAACAAAAATTTGATGAGCTTATACAAACACTTATGGATCTCGGCCAAATCCAGAAAAAAAAATGTTTCAAGATGCAAATCAAAATTAAAATGGATCAACAAGCATAGCTAAGAAAGATGAACATATAAGAACTACACAAACCTACTAGACATGGATTTCAAAATAAAAGACTCAAGCATTCAATTGACCGAATAAGATTCAAAGAAGACTCAAACAAATCAAATGCTAATAGGCAGAAAATTCCTAATTAAGCACAAGAGAATGGAGCATGATTCATGGAAGCAATTCAAAAGTAAAATGCATATATGAATCACTCAAGCAAAACCGAAACTAGATCCATCAATTTTTAAGACAAGAAAATAGATATAGGAAAGAATCAACTCTAAAATGACATGAACTCAAAAATGAACAAGATGAACACAAGATGAAGAAACCACGGATCAAAGATTTCAAAAGATAAGAATCAAGACTTATCTCTTGAAGACAAAACCGGATGCTCTTGATACCACTTGATGTGATTCCTCTTGGAAGCACATGAACTCTTCAAGCCTTCACGGAGTTCCTTGGAAGATGCTTCAAGGAATGGAGTCTCCACAAGGCCAAGGTGACCTAAGCTTGCGTGTAGCCAAGTCCCAAAGAAGAACAAGATCCTAACTCTACAAGGAGAAGCACTCAAGGAGGGTAGAGTAGGAAGCAAGGTGACTTCGGAAGTGATGAATTTCAAAGAGAAATATGTCATCAATATATGATCCAAAGTAATACAAACTCTCGGCCAAAGAGAAGAAATCTCTTTCAATTAATTCCAAAAGTGTCACAAACTCTCGGCCAAAGAGAATATATAGGAAAAATTAGGTTAAGTGTTCCTTGGGTTAGCCTAAGGTTAAGTGAAACCATGGTATGGTTACTTAACCTTAGGCGCCCAAAATTTGAATTCAAAATTCAAATTTTGGGAGCCAAACCCGGAACCTCCCATGTGCTCATCATTTGGCATGTGATTAGCTTCTCATTTGAATTGCATTTAGATCACACCATGTGCATGTGTGCACATGGCCGAAATGCATATCAAATGCAAGGCTAATTACATGCTAATGAAAATACACATGCAACCTTAATTAACCCTAAATTCCAAATGACCTCTACATGTAATTCCTACACTACAAAGGCCGAAAATACAAGGCCCAAAAGAAAATACAAGGCACCAAGGCCCAACCCTATACTAACCCTAATCTACTTGGGCTTGAGTCAAAGCCCAACAAAACAAAGTGGTGGGCTTTTCATGGGCTTGGACCCACTCTTCATGCATCCTCCTTGCCATAGCCCTAGTAGTTGGGCCCTTAGCCCATGGGCTTCCTCCATCAGCACACGTCGTTCATCACTGACCATGCCAACTTTTACTACCGAGTGATGCCATTCAGTCTCAAAAATGTAGGGGCCACTTACTAACGACTGATGGACAAGGTTTTCCACCAACAGATTGGGCAGAATATGGAGGTCTACATTGACGACATGGTGGTCAAAACCACTTCCGCTGAAGGTCATGCGGCCGACCTGGCCGAGGTGATCAGTCAGATCAAAAAACACAACATGCTCCTCAACCCAGAGAAGTATGTCTTCGGTGTCCAGGGAGGTAAGTTCCTTGGCTTCATGATCACCAGCAGGGGCATTGAGGCCAACCTAGAGAAATGCAAAGCCATCATCCAGATATAGAGCCCCCACACTGTGAAAGACATCCAACTCCTGGCTGGAAGGTTGGTCTCTCTTTCACGTTTCATCCCCAGGTTGGCGGAGAAGGCAGGGCCCATCTTCACCTTGCTGTGAAAGCTGAAGAACTTCGAGTGGATGGACCAGTGCGAAGAGGCTTTCAAAAGCTTCAAAGTCTTCCTCACTACTCCGCCAATCCTCTAGAAGCTGGATCACCACGCCGACCTACTCCTCTACCTAGCCGTGGCAGAAGGCGCAATCAGCGCAGTCATAGTACAAATGCACTAGAAAGTGCAGATGCTAATCTACTTCATCATCTGAGTTCTCCAAGACACGGAGAAACGATATCAGATGATTGAGAAGCTTACACTAGCACTTGTCACCGCAGCTCGGCATTTTCGACCCTATTTTCAAAGCCACCAGGTGGTCGTCAAAACCGACTACCCAATCAAACAAATCCTGAGAAAGCCAGAGCTCGTCGAATGGATGATAGCATGGTCAATAGAACTGTCCGAGTTTGGCATCAAGTATAAAATTCGCGGCCCCCTGAAAGCCCAATGCCTAGTAGATTTTGTGGCCGAACGGACTCCAACCTCGGCTGACAAACAACAGGTATGGATTTTACATGTTGATGGCTCCTCCAACTCTAAGGGTGGTGGTGCAGGTATTATTTTGGAAGGACCAAATCAGGTCACCTTGGAGCAATCTCTCAAGTTTGGCTTCAAAGTGAGAAACAACCAAGCGGAATACGAAGTGCTTCTCGCAAGGCTAAGGTTGGCTCACGACCTTGGAGCGCGGAGAGTGAGTTGCAATAGTGAGTCAAAGCTCATGGTAGAGCAACTCAGCGAGGCATACCAGACCAAGGACACCCTTCTGCAAAGGTACTTCCATGTGGCATCATAGAAGATCTCGTCCTTCGACGAGTTCACCATACATCATGTACCATGAGAGAAAAATGCCAGATCCGACCTCCTATCAAAGCTCGCCAGTACCAAACGCCTCGGGCAACACTAGACTATCATACAGGAAACACTGAACTTGCCCAGTCTGGACGACAAGGTCGTCAACACTAGTGATAGCGTAGATCAAGAATGGATGGCAGGTATTTGGAATTACTTAAAGGAGGGACTTTTGCCCGAGAATAAAGATGAAGCTCGGAAGATGAGGGTAAAGTCAGCTAAGTTTGTCATTGTCAGAGATGAACTATTCAAACACGGCATCTCCACCCCATTGCTCAAATGCTTGAGAAAGCCTCAAGCTACTTATGTCATCGAGGAGATCCATCGAGGGATCTGTGGCATGCACTCTAGAGCATGGCCAATGGTGACCAGGGTACTTTGAGATGGATATTATTGGCCCACATTAAAGTCGGACTGCCAAGCCTACGTATAAAGATGCAAGGAATGCCAGCAGTTCGGCAATACACATTGGTAACTAACCGAAGCTCTCCACCAGATGATGTCATCATGGCCTTTTGCCTAGTGGGGAATGGACATCCTCGAACCATTTCCCCGCGCGAAGGGTCAGCTCAAATTCCTCATAGTGGAAATCGACTACTTCACCAAGTGGATTGAAGCATGCCCACTCGCCAAAATCACCACTGAGAACGTACAGAAGTTCACCTGGAGAAGCATCATATGCAGGTTTGGCATTCCGCATTCCCCTTGTTACCGATAACGGTCGACAGTTCATTGCGCAGAGTTTCGAGGACTTCCTCCATGAACTCGGGGTCAAACACCTCCCGACCTTGGTGGAACACCCACAGACCAACGGCCAAGCCGAAGCTGCAAACAAGGTGATACTCCGAGAGCTCAAGAAGCGGCTAGGAAGCGCCAAAGGACAATGGCCCGACGAGCTTCCCAACATCCTTTGGGCGTACCATTGTACCCCCCAATCGACAATGCAGGAAATGCCCTACAGGCTGACCTTTGGAGCCGATGCCATGATCCCAGTACAGGTCAGCAAAACATCTCATCGACGACGTACTTTTGACAGTGAGAAAAATGCTCAAGAAGCAGCGGTCAACATCGACCTGACTGATGAGCTCAGAGAGGAAGCTCAGATCCATGAGGAAGCCTGTAAACTCCGAGCTTCCAGAAGGTATAAGACGTGAGTTTGAACTCGCTCTTTCCAGTTTGGCGACTTGGTGTAGCGACTACTAGGCGAAGCACGGAGAGACACATCAGAGAGAAAACTTGCACCCAACTAGGATGGCCCATTTCGAGTTGTAGAAGACCTAGAAAATGGGGCATACCGACTAGAAGAGCTCAGCGGCAAAGCCTCCCGCAGACTTGGAATGCCACGCATCTCAAGTTCTATTTCAATTAAATTTATATGAATGAGTTATGCACTCTTTTTCTGACTTAGTCTTTTGTCGCAAAAAATAGAAAAATGGGTTTTGGCTGAGAGGTTTTTTAACGAGTCACACCCACAACTTTAATAAAATGACTCATTCCACTCATCACTTCTTGATTTTGCTCTGTTTTAGTATAAAATGCATTATCTTAAGTCGAGGTCGAGTTTGAACCTTGATACAAATAGTTTTATCTCAAGCAAGGGTCGAGTCCGAACCTTGATACAAAATCTTAACCCGAGGTCGAGTTCGAACCTCGGTACACTTCATATTATTTCACACTAAGGTCGAGTTCGAACCTTAGTCTAAATTGTTCTATCTTACCTGAGGTTGAATTCGAACCTTAAGAACAAAATATTAACCCGAGGTCGAGTTCAAACCTTAATATGAAGAGGCCGAGTTTGAACCTTAATATGAATTGTTTCATCTTACACCGAGGTCGAGTTCAAACCTCAGTGCAAATTGTTCTATCTTACTCGAGGTCGAGTTCAAACCTCGGAACGATTTGTCCTACCCTATGCTGAGGTCGAATTCGGACCTTGGTCCAAATCACTTTAAACTAAGCCAAAGTTTAAACGTGTTTCCAACCACAAAAAAGGACAAAAACTAAGCCTAAAACATGAGCGCAAAACAAAAGGTCACAATAGAACCATTGAAAGTGCAAAGTGAAAACCGTAGATGAACAAAGCAAATTATATACGCAAGTTTGACAAATACAAAATGTTGAAAAAACAAAGTGAGCAAAATAAGCCAAGTTATTACAGAATAAGCCTAGCCAGAGGCATTATCGCTCGAGCTGTCTGGGAGGTCGTCTTCCTTTACCAGCCTCCCGAAGCGCACCTCTTTTCCCACATGCATGTCGCAACCTGAAAATTTATGATCTTGCGACTAAATTGGATCCATTATCAGTGATGATTTTGTCGGGAATACCGTATCTGCATATAATGTTTTTCTTAATGAAGGATGTTACCACCTTTCGGGTCACATGAGCATAGGACTTCA